AGGTGCGCACTACCATACCCAGCAAAAAAATTTTTTTAAATTATTTTTAGTAGAGATGGAGTTTCACCATGTTGGCCAGACTGTCCTTATACCCCTACCTCAAGTGATCCACCCACCTTGGCCTCCCAAAGTGCTGGGATTACAGGCATGAGCCACCACGCCCAATCTGTTTAGTTTAATTAGATCCCATTTGTCAGTGTTTGCTTTCGTTGCAATTGTTTTTGACATTTTCATCATGAAATCTTTGCCTGTGCCTATGTCCTGAATGGTATTGCCTAGAATTTCTTCTAAAGTTTTTATAGTTTTGGGTTTTACACTTAAGTCTTTAATCCATCTTGAGTTAATTTATGTATAAGGTATAAGGTAGGGGTCCAGTTTCAATTTTCTGTATATGGCTAGCCAGTTCTCCCAGCACAATTTATTAAATAGGGAATCCCTTCCCCATTACTTGTTTTTACCAGGTTTGTTGAAGATCAGATTATTTTAGATGTGCGGTCTTACTTCTGAGTTCTCTATCCTGTTCCATTAGTCCGTGTGTCTGTTTTTGTATCAGTCCCATGTTGTTTCAGTTACTGTCACCTTGTAGTATAATTTGAAGTTGGGTAAATCCTGTTGATTCTATTATTCTGGAGAACCATGACTAACATAGGGCCATCTCATTTATTTTTGAGGCGGTTTGTCACTAATCACTATCATCTGTCAGTTTGGTGGCATGTACTTGAAATAAAGGGACATAAATTTTTTATATTTTCCCATAAAATAAATTTTGTCTATGAGTTTATTAATAACAATGACTGTGTCTAAGGATTTAGGCTATAAAATCAAAACAGATTTACATTCTTTAATTGGACATGGAGACCTCTGGGTCCTTAATCATTTCTAATCATCCTTGCTGCCCAATTTAATACTCATATAATCTAGTAAGTATCTTTAAATTCACCTTTCATTTACCCTATAAAAATCTGCATCTTTGGTGAAGGAACCCAGCAATTATTCGTTAATGCGATGAATAAAGTTCATCTGCCCCTTATCTAGTATAAATTCATTTTATATAGGAGGAAAAGTGATCTGTCAACTCATTAGACCATACATATTTTTTCAGTGGGTCTCTAAGATTCTTCCATGTCTTCTTAATCATTTCTAAGATTGGCTTATTTATTTTGTCTACAGGAATGCACACTTAGCCTTTCATTTCCTCAATCAAATTAAATATTCCTATGGTATATTATCCCTTCAAGCCCATACTATAAAATTATAATATTATTTGAAAAAGAAAGGATGGTATTTGGCAATGGCTTTTTAAAATTCATATTCTTTTACACCTTAGATTTCCTATAACTACATGCTACTTATTTATCTTAATAGGCACCATGAAATTTATTCCTCATGAGGTCCTTCTCTATATAAGTTATATTTTTTCAGGCTTGAATGATCAAAAGCTGAATTACAGGCTTCACCTGCTGTAAGAAGGTGGTTCACCAGTTTGTTAGTCCACTGGGCCACTCCGAACTATACTCTTCTGATGAGCACAAACTTATGTGCAGTGTTTCCTGGGAGATAGTGTTATAAGTAGGCTTCTTTTACTAACTTTCATTTTAAGTTCAGGAGTACAAGAGCAGGTTTGTTACATAGGTAAACTTGTTTCATGGGGGTTTGTTGTACAGATTATGTCATCACTCAGGATTAAGCCTAGTGCCCATTTGTTACTTATCCTGATCCTCTCCCTCTTCTCACCCTCCACCCTCCAACAGGCCCCAGTGTGTGATGTTCCCTTCCATGTGTCCATGTGTTCTCATCATTTAGCTCCCACTTGTAAGTGAGAACATGTAGTATTTGGTTTTCTGTTCCTGTATTAACTTGCTAAGGCTTCTAATAGTACATAGCATTTTACCACAGGAAGACTTGTAGGAGATCACAGAAAGTTCTACATTTTATGATAATACTAACATATTGTGTTTATGATGATTGTTAAAATGGGTTTTGAATAGAAAAATATGTCTAAGTGGACTTCCACCATGTAGCCTTCTGTATAAATAAGTTTGAGATAATTATTTAGTTTTCCCTCCCACCAATGTCCTGTGTCTGTATTCATCCTACAGCATCTTCTCAATAAATTTAGTTTTTCACTTTCTTTCAGTCAGAAATGAACTTCTTAGACAGGGAAAATAACTTCATAAATCATTCATCAATGGTCAACTTTCCTGCCATTTTTAGGTTCCATTTCCTGTATTTTAGAAAAAGAGGCAGCTCTTCTACCTAACAGTATTTTCCAGTTTTAAATAATAGTTAGAGAAGATTCACATATCTGTAACTGAGATGATATAATTTTTAATAGTCTTTGGTTATAAGTGACTGAAACTCAACTGAAACTAGGCTGAACAAAATAAATTACAAGAAGAGGAGTTTATTAGGCTGTGGAATCAAAAAAAGATTCAAACTGTCCTCCTTGTCACTGAGTCCAAGGAAAACATGGAATCAGGGATTTGAAGATTCTTTGTATTTATTATCAGTTCTTTATCTACAATTTACTTTAAATACTTATTACAGTTTGAAGTCACTTGCCTGATGAAAAACATTGTCATTAACGATTTTAAGTATTGCATTTTAGTACTTCTACCACAATAAAAGCATTACTGTTTTTTTTTCGCAATGTCATATTGAAAAATTATTTTTAAAAAAGTTCTACTGCAGTTAAGAGTTTGGAGATACAATGCAAAATACCAGTTTTCATAGGGAACAATATTTTTGAAGTAGAAAGAGGAGAAATTTTCAGAAAAAGGAAGTAGGTACTACTTCTATAAGCATGATGGAATATAAGGCAAAAAGTAGAAGCCACTAAGGATAGACTATTTTAGTGGCGTACCATTCACACGGGCCTTATAATTAGAAGATATAAATTTGAATCACGACTATACTACTTATAAATTTTATGCCTTTGGAGGGAATATTTAACTTTTTATATTAAATTTCCCCATCAAGAAAACAGTGATAATATCTACCTCACAATATTTTTATGAATAAAATAAGTTGTGGATGTGGTAGAGCATAATTAAGGGACATATGTTTGGTTTTATGAATGAAAGTAGGACAAAAACCTACCATCACATACATGCACTCACACTCACAATTTAGTATTCAGACTGTGTTGCTTAGATGACATGGAGTGACAAGGATTGAAAAATGATAAAGCCTATAGCTTTTTTATGTACTCAGTTTTTTCACAATTATGTCTCTTATTTATTTATTTATTTATTTATTGAATAATAAATAATAAATATAAGAGTCTTGCTCTCTCGCCCAGGCTGGAGTGCAGTGGCGCGATCTCGGCTCACTGCAAGCTCCGCCTCTTGGGTTCACGCCATCCTCCTGCCTCAGCCTCTGGAGTAGCTGGGACTACAGGCGCCCACCATCACGCCCGGCTAATTTTTTTTTTAATATTTTTAGTAGAGACAGGGTTTCACCGTGTTCACTAGGATGGTCTCGATCTCCTGATCTTGTGATCCGCCCACCTCGGCCTCCCAAAGTGCTGGGATTACATCACAATTACATCTCTTAATGAAACAGAATATAAATGAGGATTGCAGTTTTTCTTAAGTTGGACTCTCTATGAGCAAAGCCTGAGATAGGGATTCAGATGTGTGCAATTTATTAATGAATGCTCTCAGGAGACAGGGAGCAAGGAAAAACAGTGTAGACCGAGAAAGGAGGTAAGCAAGTGTATAGTCACGGCTGGAGCTTAGTTTCAGAAGGCAAGAGGGTCAGTATTTGCCCATGGCCTGCTTCCTGGGGAGCAGGGGCCATTTTCTTCATGAGACATTTCCTACTAAGTTGAGAACAACAACTTGCAGAAAGCAGAAACCATGAACAATGAGCAGCCAACATTCACAGATGCACAGTTCTGTAAAATGATCTGGGCAAAATACCAAAGACATAAACAGTATCTTCTATATAGTCCCCTCTCCTGTCTCACTGAAGTATTATTTCTGCTGTGATTAAAGTGTAATTAAGGCGTAACCTCCCTCTTTTTAGGATATTTTAAATTGAGTTATGGGTCGCTTCCTAACTCATTAGACAATTTTAATCAAGTGAGAATGACATTATTTTATTCTTCGGGAAATTTATACTTCTTAAATGGAATCAGGATGTATGTATAGAAAGCAATCATTCTTCAAAAAAATGCAAAAGCCTATTTTTTGTGTCTTCAGATCTTGTTTATAGCAAAAGGAGGTGAAGAAACTGTCCCTTCTGCTAATTCAAACTAGTTGGCCACAGGTGGATATCTGGGGATGGCCTCAACATCAGAGCTAGCAATTAGGGTAGTGGGATAAGAATGAGAGCAAGATAGAAGGAGGTACTGACTGTGTCTACATCCTCTCATTTATCCATGATTCCTCTTCTCACATTTTTTTTTTTTGTTACAAGTTTGTCAGAAGGTACTGTCTTGAGGAATAAATATGAGTTTATTGTTTTTGAGACAAATTCATGATCATTTGATTGAGGGAGAAGGAACCAACTAGACTGTTGGGATGATGAGTGATTAGTTCACTGATCAAAGAAGATTTTATTCTTTTTTGCAGGAAAATTCCTGAACTTCAGTGACCAAATTTATAGGTTCCCATTGTTTGTATGGACATCTGCAGAGGAATTCATAGGAGTTGGAAATTGGATTTGATATAGTAAACCAAACTCTATTCCATTTCACTCAAACCAACTAATAATTTTATATTTTTATGACTCTGTTACTATCTGCTAACTTTATACCATGAAATAAACATGTTAGTTACATTATAGACATACCCATAGATGCCTAAGGTATTGTTATCACAATAATTTAGTGGAAAGCTTAGAGAAATATTCTGTATACAGGAATGCAACAAAAATTTGTACAAACTACATTTAGCTAGAGAGCTGGGCTTAAAGAGATACCTTAGGGAAACTTAAAGCTCTATTTTAACACCTATTTTACCAAGTCATATGAGCATGTATGCTAGATATGAGACTTCTTTGTTCTCCTGCTAAATATTAGAGTGTTTACATTTTGTGAGAATGACTATGATGGTTGGAGATCAGGTTCCAATTCTATGGGTAGTAAAAAGGTGAAGAATGCCATTCTTAATCTGCTTGGTCTTGACACTATATATTATAGGATTCATTAGTGGAGGGAACAGAAAATAGACATAGCTCATAATGAGGTGAACAATATGTGAAACCTGCTTTCCAAAACGATGAATCAGAGATAATCCAATCACTGCAACATAGAAAACCAGGACACAGCAGATATGGGAGACACAGGTATTGAGAGCCTTAGCCTTCTCCTCTCTGGAGGCAATGCTCAGGACAGTCTTGAGTATCAACACATAGGAGATGAAGATAATCAGAGAATCTAGCACAAATATAAAGACCACAAGCACAACTGGGTACAGTTGGTTGAAGGTGGTATCAGCACAGGCCAGTTTAATGACATCCTGGTGAAGGCAGAATGCATGTGAAAGAACATGGGAGTGACAATAGAGAAAAAAATAGAGGGGCATGATTGGGGGAACAACAGATACAAATCCCCTAATCAGAACTCCCAGCCCAATCTTCACTATTCGAGTAGTAGTAAGTATGGAGGTATATCTAAGAGGGTTGCAGATGGCAATAAAACGGTCATAGGCCATGGCAAGCAGAATGCCAGACTCGACAAAGGAAAGTGAGTGTATAAAGTAGGCCTGGGAAAAGCAGGCTGCGCTTCCAATCTCCCTGTAATCCAGCCAGAGGACTCCCAGCACCGTGGGCATTGTGGTCAGGGTCAGCCCCAGGTCTGTGGCAGCCAGCATGGACAGAAAGAAGTACATGGGCTCATGAAGATTGTGATCTTCCTTAATGAGAAGAAGGAGGGTGCCATTGCCAAAAAGGACAGACATATAGATGAACAAGAAAAATAAGGAAATCCAGTGATGAGCTGCCTCCAAGCCTGGAAAACCAGTCAACAGGAAGGGATGCAAGCTGCCGTTGGACCACATCCTGGGTTTATTGAGTTTATATAGAAGAAATGTCTTTCTGTTTCTGTTATTACCACAACGCGCAGTTTTACCTTCAGGGTATCACTTCGACCATATGATTCTCAGAATTGTTCCCTAAAGACAACAATGACATCAATATAAGTGATTGTTTCTCAAAATGCATTCTTAGGATTACCTATACTATTTGTATTCTTAACTGCACATTCCAGGATCTATCTCCTACCTACTTAATCAAATTCTTGGAGTTTCAAGTGTTTATATGCATTTAAGCATTCTCTTCAGAAAAATTTTTATGTAAACTTCAACTCTAAACTGTTTCCCTTAACTATGCAGATTTTAAAGAATCCATATTCTATGGGGCATTCAAGGGGATTTCAAGGATCCTAACACTAATTTTTTTCTAGTCTACTACTTAAACCTGTAATTGCCTTCACAATACTGATCCCTAATCCACATTTTCCTGCATATAAAGACTTACCTGAATTATCAGCTAAAGTCTCAACAGCCTAAGAAAGAAAAGTATGGGAAGAGAAACTCTGCCACTACTACTGTAGCTAAGGAGCAGACAGAGAAAGAAACACTTGGCTTCCCGATTTCATGGACTAGTGATGGGGAACAGACATTCACGATTGGTGTGAATTACCCTCTTGTTGGATCCTTCAGTACTACTCACTACTTGTGACAATGGCTCAGTCTAATTGTAAGTTAGATAATCATAGACTTTGGGGCTGGAATAAATGATTAGGCCAGCCAAAGACATCACTTATAATAGTGTATCTCCTTCAGTTTAAACATCTTACTGTTTCTTATTTACAAGTAGTGTCTTTTTCTTTTTAAATTATTTTTCCATAGGCCCCCTCAAGTAATTCCCTAGAATCTGACCTCTCTCATTTCAAGTTCTCCATTTGTATTTAAACAACCATCTTCCTGGTTTCCTTCCCTTTATCCCCAGCCATAGGCTTCTGAATCTGTTCTCCCCAATACTGAGTGAGAGCTATTTCACTGCTTAAACAGGGTGCTGTCTTTTACTGAAGAGAAGAGATCAGTCCTTTGATAAGGTTTTAATATTCCTTCTGCCACGAGACTAGGGACTTCTTGCATATAGAAATGTGTTTATTTGCTTTGCTCAATCCCTTGCAAAGTATCTAACATGTGGCCGATATACATTCTTCAGTTCACCTAATATTTTTGAACGCCCATCATGAATGGCGTTTAAAGCTCTCTGGAATTAAATGGTAATAAGACAAAGTCCCTAATCTTATAAACCATAAATTAAGTTGAAAAATAAGTAAGACAATTTTAAATAAATATAAGTGCAAGTTTAACATAAAACAGTACTGTTCGATGTAGATTAATTGGATGGTATTGTATACAAGTTAGTATAGCAGTTTGAGGGACCTAGAACTGCACCTGTGAGGAGGTCCCATTTGAGCTGCGACTTCAATAAAAAATGAAACCTGACCATATACAGACCTAGAGGAAGACTATTCCAGAGGGAAAATCAGCATAACTGGCGTTTGATAAGAAAACAGGAGAGGGACAATAGAAAATGTCAAGGAAGCAGGTAGTAATCAGGTGTCATAGGGCCTTATAGACCACAATGGGATTTTTGTTTTGTTTTTACTATAAATGTAGTGAAGATATTAGAACGTTTTGAAAATCACAATAGAAAATAGTGTGGTGACATATTCTGAATTGTATTTTTAAATTACTCACTTAGACTGCTATGTGAAGAATACTAAGCAAGAGACAAGAGAAGAGATGAGTTAGAAAGCTATTTTTAAAATCCATATGAAGAGTGATGGCGACCTTGACTAGGAGAGAAGCAGGGGAAATGAAAAAAAGAGAAAAATACAAAAACTTAAACAGATACAGACGCATTTTTGAGGTAGTGCGAAGATTTGCTGATACATTAAAAATGAGAGTTGGGGAAAAGTGAAATGAGGCTTCCCCTACATTTCTATTTGAACAAATGAAAGAATGCTGAAGCCATTTACTCAAAATGGAATTCTGAGGGGGATACACATTTACTTGTGAGGAAATCGAGAGTCATTAGTAAATATAGCTGAGTTAGAGCAAATTCATTCCTTGCTTTTTGTTGTTGTCCCATACCAGAACAACTTCTTGAAGTTGTTTTTATCCACAATTAAAAAGATGTTCTTATCCAAATATACCCCTTCAGAGTTACTTTGTCAGTGTAAGGCACTACCCTAAAGATGCCACCAAAGAAAATGATCCTCTTACCTTCCACCCGTATAGAAGAGATCTAACTGTAACAGTTTCAGTGAAGAGGTGCCAGACAACTGGGCATGAGGCAACAACTCAGCACTTTTGGCTTGATTATAAGGAATAAAAAATTGAAAGAATCATTTTTCAGCATCCATATTCTGTCCTAGGACCGAGAGACATAAACCAGAATTCAGTGCCTATTGAACATACAATGAGTGATGTATATTTTTCAGTTACTAGACGCGAAGATGATCCAGCTTAGTTCCTCCCCTTCTGTGTTCTATGTACAACTTCATTTCTCTGTCAACACTCTTACTTCTCTGACATTTCAGCAATAATCTCCTTTAACCCAATCTTTCACTGTATCTCAGCTTTGTGAAAAATTTCTTCTTATAAAAGAATATGCAGCACAAGTGATGAATTGCTACAGGGAAACTAACCAAAGTATAAGGCAATGATTGTATTTTGCCAATAACCTGCAACTTAAAGTTTTCCCTTCTCCATTCCCAAGAATTCCATGCAGACATACCTTGTAATGCAGCTATAATAGTGATCTATGGACTCACTCTACTTTGTTTTGTGGAAAATTCCCGTGTCCTCAGCTAGTTGCAGCTGTAGGTTTCTAAGAAGAAAGACAGTAAGAGAAGAGATAAAAGCTGAGGAAAAAAAAATATAAGGAAGGAAAAAGATCACAAAGACTGAGGATAGAACCAAGAAGAAGATTCTATAATTGAACACCTAGAAAATCAGATAAAGTTCTGCCATTTACAGCCATAATTTTTCTCTGCTTTGTTTAAAAAGCAAAATCTAGTAGAATAAGAGTGCCTTCCTGTTCATCTCTTAGAAAGGAAAGGAGACATATGAGAGGGTCATATTCACATCACTGAGTACTGAAGGTATTAGGTAGTGGTTGGCAGCACTTGGAATTGTTTTTGAAATGCTGTCAACTTCTGGCTGAATTCTGTACACATATCCAAAGCTGTGGACTATTGAGATCCTTCAATAGGAAATCCTTCTCCTTATCTTTCTCTGGAGAGCTTATAGAAGAGTCTCCTAGTACACTCCTTACATATCTAGGAGTATTTCACCATACTCCCATGTACCATAACTTGATTGATGGTGAGGAGGAGCAGGATTATTATGTCTTGCCTAAAGACTCAGATCATGTTGTTCCTTCTCAACATCTGTTAAGAGAAGCAGTCACTGAGGTTATTATAAAGACAGCACCTTCCCAGATGTCTCCCTTTTATAGCCAACTTGGACCTTAAGGAATATTTACTCTGTATTAACTCCTCCTTTGAGGGAGGTGGAATACTTAATTAGTCCTCCAAAGCTCTTAAATAATCTTTTTCCAAACAAAGTTACTGAGCTAATCAAGCCACTGGTAGGAACTTTATGTGTGGGGAATCAGACAGCCTGTCTTCATAGTCCCAGCAGACTCTGGTATCATCTTTGGGAGGTAATTTATTCCCTATACTTACTTCAAAGGTCAAATCTTTCCCAGTTTATCTCAAGAGAAAGCTGTATATCTTCTTGGCCTATGTAATCTGAATTTCAGTTATATTTCCTGCTTGGTTTAGATCAGAGAAACCTTGAAAGTAGAGAGCTAATAGACGAGAGTCAATAAAATAAAATTCAGGCAGCCTTCTCTAGTACCCAATGTGAACCCACAATCTGCAGTTATCACTAACTATTCCCTTGTTGAGTTTAATCCACCAGAAGTTTTCTCTTTCCCGGGGGATGCAGCAGGCATGCTCATCACTACGGTGCTTCAGCCAAGCACACCACATCACTTTAGTCCCAGGGACTGTAATATTTTTGGTTTCCCCTCCAATCCTGATAGGAACTACACTGCCTATTATTGGTTTTAAGGGGAAATATACTTATATTACCAGAAGAACAAATTTCCTTTCACTGAATAAATTATTCAGCTGTTACTATGCTTTGTTATAATTAATGTAATGATCAATGCAAATCAAAGACTATCACTAACTGTTATGAATTGAATCATGTCCCAACCCAAAATTTATATATTAAAGTACTAACCCCTAGTAACTGAGAATGTGGCTGTATTTAGAGATAGGTCTTGAAAGAAGTGATTAAGTTAAAATGAGGTCATTAGGGTGTATCCTAATTGAATATGACTTGTGTCCTTATAGGAAGAGGAAATTTGAATATGGACAGATACAAAGGGAAAACTATGTGAACACACAAGGAGAAGATGGCCATCTATAAGTCAAGGAGAGAGGGTTCAGAAGAAACCAACCCTGCCAACACCTTGATTCTGGACTTCTAGCCTTCAGAACTTATGAGAAAATTAGTTTCTGTGGTTTAAGCCATGCAGTCTATGGTACTTCCTTATGGAAGTGCTAGAAAATTCTCTAGCAATGTAAACATGGGCAAGCTACTTAACCTTTTCAATACTGAATGTATATTTAGGTATAAACTTAATAAATATGTATAGAAATTAATGCTGCCTATTACAAAATGCTGATGATAGACCTAGACAGGCTGATAAAACGTTCTTGGACATTTTATCAAAGAAATGAATACTTACGTTTATACAAAGACTTGCACATGAGTGTTCATAAAAGCTTTATTTTTATCATTGCTAAAAACTGGGAACAACCCAAATGTTCTTCAATAGGTGAATAGATACACTGTGGTACCACTTGCAAGAGATTGCTGCTTAGCAATAAAAAAATAACAAACTATTAACACATGGAACTAGTGGATATATCTTGGAAAAATTCTGCTTAGTGAAAAAAAAGCCAATGATTTCATCTACATAGTTTTATTGAAATGGTAAAGTTATCGATATGGAAATCA